CAGACTAAGTGTGGGTGAATTAAAAATATATTAATTAATCCTTTCAGAAATATTTATGCATTTTACTGAAAAAAAAGACAAGACAAACTGAAAAGAGACCAAAAAAAGTTAAAAATATACAAAATATCAATGAAAAACAAAAGTACATAATATACCATTATTATGTGAAACTCTAGCGGTCTTTTGTGAAACTCTAAGGTTCCACAAAAGACCGCTAGAATTCCTGAGTCTAGTGATGTATGATTGTGCCAATGCATATTTGGGACATGAGGTGTAATTGTTATAGTTTCAGATCGAGTCCTCTTATGACATCCTATACATGTGCTAGAGTTATATAAAGCTTTATAAACAGTGGAGACCAATTTATCATTAATTAATGGAACAAACTGAAATCTTGATATAATGTTTAACAAGATGATGAAAACCTTAAAAACAGTAAAACTTAAAGCTAGAAAATCATAAAAAAATATAACCTTAAAAAGTAACCAACATATAAATAATAATAATAATACAATTGTTAAATATGCTTAATTTGTCATTATCTACAATGCAAGCCTATCTAATGACAGGTGTGACCAATCAAATTCCTTAATACAATACTAGTGATGGGACACTCATATCGTGTCACTAGTATCATAATTAATAATTAATGTCATATCATCTGTAGTGTGTTGTAGCACAATGGTATAGCATACAAGTGGACATATCAGTCAAAGATTATTAGAATTTTGCATTGCAATTGTATTGTGATATTTTAAGTATTGTTCATACCCAAATTAAAAAATCATGGAGTTTGTCAAAGAGAAGAGTTTTGAAAAAAAAAGTGGGGTGTGGCTGTGTCGGGGACATGGCCGTGTGTTTTACATGAATAAGTGTATGTTAACAGGTAATATTTTTACGTTCCCAGCACCGCTTCACTCTATCATATGGTGTTTTATGGGTATTACTGGATTACACTTGAGAAGCCATTTCCAACTGTATACAATTTCTATATTTTGATTTGGCTTTTTGACGAGTATAGGCCAACATTGTATTAAGTTTTCCTAATATTAACTTTAACATCAAATATATTCACCATAATTATTCCACACTAATGTTTTGTGTACGCAATTGATAAATATTGACAAGAGCTGTAAATTGAAACTCAAATGAGCATTGTAGCTTCTCCAAGTCAAAATGTATACTAAACAGAAAGTATGTGACATGATGAAACAACCTCAAAATGGCGGTGCTTCCCCCTCTGCCGCGCATGATGCATCACAGTCCCCACTCAATGTAATGAATTCTTTGATCCTTTAACTATCGAGTGGTGTAATTAAATTTTGGATGTAGATGATAGATACGTAACTGCAATGCCAAACTGTATCCCCTTGATTTTGTTATCATCAGTTTTCTGAATTGCCTCCCACTATGGAAGCAAATTTAAACATGTATTCACGTCAAAAATGTAGGAAGTACTTTCAATGTACTTCCTACATTTTTGACGTGAATACATGTTTCAGTCTCCTTGTCACTAGAAATATTGAAAGTACATTTTTCAAATGTACTTTCAATATTTCTAGTGACAAGGAGACTGAAAAGTTAGATACAAACAAACGTCCAAATCCAGGCACTACCACTGTTTAAAATATTGAAACAAAAGAAGTTCAACCCTTCACATTAATGACCAGTTTGAAATAAGTAATAATATTTGCCTTCTATTATTAATCTTTTTTTTTTTTTTTTTTTTAAAAAANTTGTTATTTGGCAAAAAAAAATTTCAAATTATATGTGGTACCATCTGTTATGATATGTTATTTAAAAACTTTTTATATTATTAATGATTATAAAATGGCAAAAGACTTAATTTCGAGGACAGAGATGAATTTTATAAAACACTTTAAATGCTAACAACAAGTAAAAATCTTCATTAAGTCTGACCCCTCACGCGATATATCACATGGCCACCCCTTCTTTCCGTCCTCTTTATCTTTCACACGACATTTGGCATGGTGGCTTGTATATGAGAGACATTGATGCTATTAAATTTTGATGGTGAAAGGTTCAGAGAGTGGAGAGATAGAGGTGTCATGCGTCATATCTCGAGATGAAAGAAATGGAGATTGTATTCGTTAGTAACATTTATACTTTTTTCATAAAACTCATCCCTACCCTCAAAATTAACCCTTTTGCTATTTTATGATAATTAAAAATGTAAAAAGTTTTTAGAACAAAATCTGTTAATAGATGGCGCCACACATTTTTATTTATCTTGCTGAGTACAGTATAAATGAAAGTTTCTTAAATAAAAACTCATAACCGCCGAGAAAGTTATGCAACTCGTTGCTGAATTTTTTTTACTTTTTTGGGTTCAGGAGATATCAAAACGCTGAGATTTGCAAAAAAAAACTCGGAGGGTCAAATTGAACAGGATTCCATTACTTTCCCTTGTATACATAACAGCCGGAAAAGTAAAAAGCACTTGAAATCAATCACTTTTAATCATACAAACTGAAAATCCAACCGCTCGCAACAAATTGTAAGAGTTTTATTGTTGCGTCGTTAATTTAATATTAAAAGTTTGAATTTTTTTTACCGAATTTCGTGATTTTCGCGGATCATTCCTTAATGTTAATTGACATAAATATTATATGCAAAAATCTAATATTCTCGTGTTTTATGATGATCATCTCGTATGAAGATGAATAAAAATAAATTCGATTTTATCATGATTCTTAGAACCAACGAGCTAGAATATACAACATAGAGTAGCTGTGAACTTAAATACAGCGCTTTTGGTGGCAAGACGGGTACTATCGACTGTCTTTTTACTTTAAGTCAAAACCAGGGCTGTGGAGTCGGAGTCGTGGAGTTTTGATGTTTTAGTCGGAGTCGGAGTCGGAGTCGGAGTTGGAGTCGGTAGATTTTTACGCGACTTCCACAGCCCTGGCAGGGCTGTTGAGTCGGAGTCGGAGTCGGAACCGGATGATAAGGAAAAGTCGGAGTCGGAGTCGGAGTTGGAGTCGGTAGATTTTTACGCGACTTCCACAGCCCTGGCAGGGCTGTTGAGTCGGAGTCGGAGTCGGAGTCGTGGAGTTTTGGTGTTTTAGCCGGAGTCGGATCGGAGTCGGATGATAAGGAAAAGTCGGAGTCGGAGTCGGTAGATTTTTACGCGACTCCACAGCCCTGGTCAAAACATTGAAGTCTATACCACGTGTCGGGCAGGATTGTCATTTAGAATCTAGATATCTAGATTGTTTTATATGTCTCTAGATTTGAGATTTAGTCAATTAGATAAATAATATAAATCTAGATTGTTTCATCTCGAATTTAGCTATTTTTTAGATTTTATTTAATTATTATAAAGAAGGTAAGATCAGAATTTAAACGGGTAAGTGTAGTACTTAACCCGTAATATAACAATATTATTATAATCTAAGTACGAGCCAGGTCTTGAAGGGTTTTACTCTTACTCATATGATTGTTTATTTATAGTATACTCTGGTCATTCTGATTGGTACCATACTCAGAACGCTGTTGATTTTTTCGGACAGTGTTTTTTTCTTTTGAAGACTATAAGTAGTGTTCTTGTGTTTTTATTATAATTATAGTTTGTTTGTGAAAATTTTGGTTTTAACTTGTGAAAATATTTGTAATGATAAACTGCATTTTGACCTTTGTCATGTTGTGAACCACATTGTTGAAGTTAAGATCCTTCTAAGAGGTAATAACGAGCTAATAATTGGGGAAACGAAAGAAGCGTTGCAATTATCCATCAAAAATAGATAAAGAAAACATGCTAGTAAGTGAAAGATACTGATATGTAGAAACTGCACCAATCGGATGTGTACAAATTACGCACTATATGCATCATTATGGATATCAAACGAATATTAACATGAACTAACCTTTTGTGCGTTATGTTGTAGACAACAACCTTAGACCTTAGACCCGTGAGCATGAAGGGGTTGGAAAATTACCAATCCGAAATGAATTGTTAAATAGGCGAAATAAAGTGAACTATTTTAATCTCGGTCTCTGTTAGCTGCGGATCATTAAGAAAGATGCGATAAATATCACTAGTCTCACTATTGGAAGAAACAACCTATACGTACTTATAACTTTTTATATTTTTAATTATTATCGAATAGCAAAAAGCTTAATTTTAAGGATAGTAGTAAGTTTTATTTTTTAAAAAAATGTAAATGTTAATAACGAATAACATCCGATCGATTAAGTTTGACTTCTCTCCAGATATGACATCCCTCTATCTCCTTACCCCTTTAATCTTTAACCACCAAAATTTAATGACATCATTGCTATACACAAGCTATCATGCCAAATTTCGTTTCATATAGGTGCCAACACACATACACGGAATATTTTTCCATATTTTTACTTTTTTGAGTTTAGGAAGTCTGAAAACGTGAAGATTTGCAAAAACATCTCTGAGAGGGAATTTGATACGATTCCAATGCTTTCCCTTTTTATGTATAAATAACAGCCGGAAAAGTAAAATTGAGAATGTTTAAAAATGCATTTAACTTATCGCTACAGAATATTTTGTCTTGTTTAAAAACGTTTAAATAAGGGATTAAAGAAAGAAATATCTGGTTATTCACTTTACGCAACACAAATGGCACGCCCCCTTGACTAAAAGGAAAATGGCAGATGTGTATTCAATTTTCTTTAAACATGGCGTCGCTACAGCCACTCCATATACGAGTAGTACAGTACAATCTAGCTCGTTGCGCTGCTCTGAAATATCTGGATTGGGTCTAAGGAAGGGTGTCGAAAGTACATTATTTTACACAACAAGGAGGAAAGGAATTAAAAGTGATTGGAAAACGTAATAAATGGATGGCTCCTATATTGGTAAACAAATTAAAATTTTTATACATTTATTATTATTATCTTATTCGTGTTTATTTAGTTTTAAATTGAAAATCAATAATAATAAATACAGTACTGTATAATAAAATTAATGGATTTCTTTTTATTGTTTTGACAGTTTTGGATACCAGGGAGCGCTAATCATCGTATTGAATGGGAAAGTTTAAAACGAAGATTGGAGGTGTGTTCAAGTATATTTATTTTATATTAATTCTAAGTGAAAAATTAATCGAATGACTTTTTAAAGGAAATGAGACAAAATAATTGCGGGTTATTAAGGAATAAATTTGTTTTTCAAAATGAAGTTCAATAGTTTTGATATTTTGAAAATGTTTTTTTTAAGCGTGAAAACTTGATTTCGATTTTTCAATATAATCTTGACTATTATTCTTGTTAATTGTTTTTTAGTATGAAAAGATGAAATTTGTCTAATTGAAATAGCACGCGTTATTTATATAAAGTTGTCACAGTTGATAAGACTTTGCTATATCTCCGCAATTTTAATCTATTATTTCCGAAATATCGTTTTAAAGTCTAATTCATCAATTACATCTTTAATTTTAAATCTAAATGAGAAGTATTATCAAGGTTTATTGACTTGCTAGATGGCTAGTTATTGTTAAAATACTTGACTCTCCTATACTATTGAAGGTAAGTTTCACATGGGTATTGAATAAAATCCTGTAGAGAACTAAGATATACTGACAGTTGCAGATTACCAATTCTGTATCTTGGTTTTTGTGTATGTGTTACTGCTAAAGCCTCAAAGTCGTTAATGTGTACATTATCTAGCTAATCTGCAGATTAACTAGGGTGATCAGTTAAAGTTGCTAAAATTGTTCTATTTTCCAAATTACCTAGGTAATGAGCAGATTATCTAGGTAGTCTGCAAATTACCTACTAGGCACTCGGTAAAGTGAAAATAAGATCTTTGCTGGAACAACAGCAACATTTTCTGTACGCTTAAATTAACATATTGTTCTTTATTTAATTTTCGATATCTAAAGAATGAAGTTAATACAATCAAACAATCAACAAATTATTTGATAGAGCAGTGTTTCCCAAACTTTTTTAGGCCATGCCCCACTTTAACATTTCTAAAATCATCATGTCCCCCCATACATAATTTTAGTTATAAAATTTATTTTTGTTATTTTTAGTAATATGAATGATAATTTTAAAGCGATTTCTTACAACTGTTGTCAAAACAAAGAAACGAACTTTTAATAAATTTTTTTATTTATTAAAAGTTCGTTTAATAATATTACTTTAATGTGATTTGTGGACTTGATGCTTTTTACACAGTGATTTTATATCTGGTTCAAGCTTAGTTAGCTTAAGTCTCAAATCTCCACGTTGTGTTATATCCAGACGATTTCTTTTTTTAATCAACAAATCACTCACAGCACTAAAGCCACATTCAGCTAGATATGAAGATGGAAACGGTAATAAGAGTTTTCTTGCACATTTTGTGGTATTGGGGTATTTAGCCTCTGTTTCATCGCAAAGCCATGCCATCGCACCTTTAATATTAAATAGAGTTATTACAGATTCGTCACTTTGCAACTCCGCGAGTTCTTCTTGATATTGCAGATTGGATATATCAGCTAAATCCACCAA